TTCAGCTATAATCAACACCTGCTGGTGGCAGTCTGGTTATCACAGATTTCTAAACCATGACCTCCAGGCCATATTTGTTATGAAATCCTTTTCATTCTTTTCAAATGACCCTTTTCTAGTTTACTCCAATTTTTCAAATAGCTCTATTTCATATAGTATTTACCATGTCTTTGAATGGTTAAGATGCTTCTTACTCAATTCTTAACTGACTGCGGAGTACTGACAGATAAGTGTGTTTTGAAAGCAAAAGCACCTACAAACATTTAAGTAAAGCAGCGCTGGTTATACATGACTCTCAAAAGAGCTACATTTTATTTTGGAAAGGGGGCAACCCCAAATTTTGGTCCCGGTATTACCATATTGGGTTTGTTACCTTGTGTTGTGTTTCTGGGAACACCAGAGTGCCCAATAAGAGCAGTGTGAGTGCATTATGAGACAGGTCAGTAATGTGCAAACTGAATTCCAGGCATTAATCCCATAAAGAGAGTGCTTCAGTATTGTCCTGTGCATGGGCTACTCTAAGAGGTGGGCTGGCCAGATTGGGTGCCGGTTGGGCATAAGAAGACTGAATACTGCTTATAAAGATAGACATGTAAAAAAATGTTCACAGCTGCTATTGGGGTTTGAAAGTTATGGAAGAAAAGCTTCTGCAGCAAACACAAGGTGCGAGGAATCTAAAGATTGCAGAGAAATCTATTCATATGTATCCTTGCTTCATTTACTCCTCAGCATTGTTTACATTTCTAGGTGGTCTGTAAACAGTCCGGCTTGTTTTCTTAGCATGACTGATGCCACCATCCCACCATTGCTCAACTCTCCCTTCCACAATTTCACTAGATCGACTGCTGGCCATGTAAATGCTACTCATTGCAAAGCACTTGGTTGTGTGTGCCACGTAGTCTACTAGGAGAGGGGAGGGAAAACAAATAGTTGATATGGTGCAGGAAATCCTGTCCATCCAACCAGTGCTAGAGTCCAGCACTTGTACTCAGTGACCTCATTAAGCAGAACAGGAAAGTTGATAGTCATATGAACAAATGAATAAATGTCAGTCAAGTGAGCAGGGCATCACCAAATAGGGGGAACATAGCTACAGGTATACACGTCAGGGTGTATTTCAGTATAAATCACAGTGGGTACATTTCTAATTGCACATACCAGAGTTTAAAAGGTATTTCTACCCACCATGACCACTTCTGCTAGAAATGCTGCACATCCGGAGATATTTGCAATTTGTTCCAAGGCTAGTTACACCCCTGGCACACATGAACTCAGTTCCGAACTGCGTAATGTTATATCTGTGTAAAAAAGACTTCTATGAGAAGTATTTTAGTGGAGCACATGAGGGAGACAGTAAAATTGGATACGGTGTGTAAAAAACACAGAGAGCTTATCCCGACGCTGTATTCCAAGCAAGTTTATACTTCTTTATTTTATAGGAGCTATGGGGGTGGGGGGAGGGGTAGGAGGTGGGGAAGGGGATCTAATTGCTAATGCCTAACGGGCCATTATACATTTAAATAAAGTTCAGATTAAAAAGGGTTGGAGTAAACCTTTAAATACGAAGGTCCCGTTTTTTTTTTATTTGATTGTCCTTGCAATAGACACTACTTTCTACCTCCCATTCATAGGCAGGTGCAGCACAATACATGTTTAGGGGGTGCACCTAGAGAAAAATAACATCTGAACTTTAATTAACAAATTTAAGAACAGAGGTACAAAACACAATTGTTTTATACTAGGAGTCAGACATATACAGTTATAAACATAAACAAACTAAACTAGTTCTAGCACACACAAAGTATCCATAAAGATGGGAACCAGAAAAGGAAGACAATTTGGCATAGCATTAGGGTGTGCCTAGGCACATCTACCACACCCTTTGCACACGCAAATGCTCCCATTGAAACAGTGGAGGAACTAGAGTAGAGACCATGACCTCCTGGTTCAATAATTATTTGGGGGGCCCCTTTATCAGAAGGATGGAAAAAAAGGTATATCCTGCCATACAACTCCACCAATGCTTTGCCAGCTGACAATTTACCATTTGTGCATCCTTGTAGGGTGGTACTTAGCACTGAGCAGTGTTTGTATGTATGAATGTAAGTATGTTTTATATGGAGTATATGTGTGGAAGTATGGGTCTATTTGTGTGTAGTGTTGGGTTGTGTGTTTTTATGTACTGTTGCCATTTGAAAGCAGTGGTTTACTTGTGTGTAGTGTTTGCCATTGAATGTAGGGGTATACTTGTATGTAGTGTTGAAGTTTGAATGCTAGGATGTATGCAAAAGTACATATACACAGCCACACACACAGATACATATACATATACAGACACACACTGACACATACAGATACACACACATAGGGCTGCCATCAGAAATGTTGGGGCCCCTGACAAAGCTCATGGTCTGGGCCCCCAGAGCCCACCCATGAGTCCGCCCACAGAACCCGCCCCTAAATCAGCCCACAAGGATGCAGTGTGTAGTCAATGCACAGTGTGTGTTTAGTGGATGCAGTGTGTGTAAAGTGGCCAAAATGTAGATCAGCATCTGTTGTACAAGTCCCAGAATGCTTTGCTAGCTGTGGATCTACAATTTGCCCATTCTTGTAGGGCTTTATTTAGCACTCAGCAGTGTATGTGTGTTTAAATGTAAGCATGTTTTTGTAAGGAGTATGTGTGTATGTGAATTTTGTTGTTTGAATGCAGGCGTACATTTGTGTGTAGTGTATACATACACATACACACACATACACACACTGACATACATGCAAATGCACAGACACACAGTTACACACACACAGAAACACACATGGTAACCGCGGCAACGCTCTGTGCTCGCGCAAGAAGGACCCAGAGGACCTGCAGGGTGAGCTCCCAGGTCCTCTCTTCCTCCCCTGCCCGCACGGTGCCTGCGGACAGGGGAGGGGGGGCATTCTTCCCTCTCTTTCTCCCCCCTCCCCCAACTCTCTATTCCCCCTCTTTCTCCCCGTGTCTCATTCTTCCCTCTCTGTCTCTTTCTCCCCCTCCCCATCTCTCTATTCCCCCTCTTTCTCCCCGTGTCTCATTCTTCCCTCTCTGTCTCCCCCCTCCCCATCTCTCTATTCCCCCTGTGTCTCATTCTTCCCTCTCTGTCTCTTTCTCCCCCTCCCCATCTCTCTAGTGGATGCAGTGTGTGTAAAGTGGCCAAAATGTAGATCAGCATCTGTTGTACAAGTCCCAGAATGCTTTGCTAGCTGTGGATCTACAATTTGCCCATTCTTGTAGGGCTTTATTTAGCACTCAGCAGTGTATGTGTGTTTAAATGTAAGCATGTTTTTGTAAGGAGTATGTGTGTATGTGAATTTTGTTGTTTGAATGCAGGCGTACATTTGTGTGTAGTGTATACATACACATACACACACATACACACACTGACATACATGCAAATGCACAGACACACAGTTACACACACACAGAAACACACATTGACACATACTTAAACACGCACTAAAGGTGCACCCTGACACAGATAGAAACACACACACAGATACACAAACACACACAGATGCCAACTGACACAGATACATACACTGACACACATACATGCACATACATATGAGATACAGACACTGACATACATGCAAATAAACAGACACACACACACACACACACAGATACACACTCAGGTGCAAACTGACACACATATACATACAGACACACACATACACCTCAAATGCATACACTGACACTCTGATACAGACAGACACACAGATACACATACACTCAGATGCACATTGACACAGATACATACAGCTACACACACACACAGGGGCGGACTGAGAACCCTCAGGGCCCCCAAGCAAAATAAATCAAGGGCCCCTTACAGGCCCCACCCATACTCTGCAGCAAGCGCCACCCTTGTCCCGCCTCCATGCACCGCCTCCAGCCACACCCTACACAATCTTTAGACACAAGGAACAAAAGGGCAATAAGCCCTTCGAGGCCCCAGTAGAGACTACAATTGAGGACTAATGGGCCATGGAGGGGGGTCTTTCTAGCGGAGGCTATCTCAGTGTCCTTTAGAGAGTGTGTTAGAAAGAATCCCCTCCAAGGCCCCATTAGAGACTACAATGGAGTCTAATAGGCTTGGAAGGGGGTCTTTCTAACAGAGGCCATCTCAGCGTCCATTAGATATCCCCTGCTGGAAACAGTCGCCTCCAGGCCCCAGTAGAAACTACAATTGAGGGCTAATGGGCCATGGAGGGGATTTCTAGCAGAGGCTAGAGTCTAATGGGGCCTGGAGGGTGGTCTTTCCAACACTCTGGTTCCTATTCACAATATAGCAACACAACATAGCTCGCTGATACCTAAGCCAAGTTGGCTCCTCTTACCTTAATTACTGTTGCTGGCTGGCAGTCTGTGGGCTTGCTGGCTGCGGCTGGCAGGCTGTGGGCTTGCTGGCTACTGCCGGCAGGCTGTGGGCTTGCTGGCTACTGCCGGCAGGCTGTGGGCTTGCTGGCTACTGCCGGCAGGCTGTGGGCTTGCTGACTGCGGCTGGCAGGCTGGCAGGCTGTGGCTTGCTGGCTGTAAGCCTGTGGGCTGGCTAACTGGCTGGCTACTGGCCAGCCTGTGGGTTGGCTGGCTGGCTACTGGGGCACTTGTAGATTATTTAAAGAAATAATCCATGCACAATAACCACTACTGCTCCAGAGTAAGTAGTCAAACCATTTAAGAACAGTTTGACAACTTACCTGGGGTCTGCTGGGATATGAGGCTGTAGTAGGGAATAGGAGCAGTGGTGCAATGTGTGTGAAAGGTTCAGTGTGTGTGTGGGGGTGTAGTGTGTGAATGTGTAGGGTGTGTGGGCAGTGTATGTGTGTGGCAATGTTAGTATGGGGGGCTGTGTATGGGGGTCTGTGTGTATATGGGTGGGCAGTGTATGTGTGTGTGTGAGGCAATGTGTGTAAATGTGTATGGTGTGTATGGGGCAGTGTGTGAATGTGTATGGTGTGTGTGTGGGGGCAGTGTGTTTATGGGGCTAGAGTTCACTCTCACCACTGCGACCACCAGGAATCCATGGGGGTTACAGTGTTGAGAGTGAACTCTAGCCCGTAGCTCCAGGGCTAGAGTTGACTCTCGCAAGAGCAGTAACGTTGCCATGGTAACCGCGGCAACGCTCTGTGCTCGCGCAAGAAGGACCCAGAGGAGCTGCAGGGTGAGCTCCCAGGTCCTCTCTTCCTCCCCTGCCCGCACGGTGCCTGCGGACAGGGGAGGGGGGGCATTCTTCCCTCTCTTCTCCCCCCTCCCCCAACTCTCTATTCCTCTCTTTCTCCCCGTGTCTCATTCTTCCCTCTCTGTCTCTTTCTCCCCCTCCCTCTATTCCCCCTCTTTCTCCCCGTGTCTCATTCTTCCCTCTGTCTCCCCCCTCCCCATCTCTCTATTCCCCCTGTGTCTCATTCTTCCCTCTCTGTCTCTTTCTCCCCCTCCCCATCTCTCTATTCCCCCTCTTTCTCCCCGTGTCTCATTCTTCCCTCTCTGTCTCCCCCTGTGTCTCATTCTTCCCTCTCTTTCTCCCCATCTCTTTATTGCCCCCCCTTTCTCCCCCTTCCCCATCTCTATGTCCCCCCCTCCCCATCTCTCTGTCCCCCCCTCTTTCTCCCCCCCTCCCCATCTCTCTGTCCCCTTTCTGTCTCCCCCTGTGTCTCATTCTTCCCTCTCTTTCTCCCCATCTCTTTATTGCCCCCCCTTCCCCATCTCTATGTCCCCCCCTCCCCATCTCTCTAATCCCCCTCTTTCTCCCCCCTCCCCATCTCTCACAATGCCCCCCTTTTCTCTCTCCCTCCCATCTCTCTGTCCCCGTCTTTCTCCCCCCTCCCATCTCTCTGTGCCCATGCTCCCCCCCTCCCCATCTCTCCCCCTCTTTCTCCCCCTTCCCCATCTTTTCCCCCCCTGTTTCTCCCCCCCTCCCCATCTCTCCCCCCCTCTTACTACAAGGTCTGGGGGCGGCCGTTGATGCTGGAGCCGCCGGACCGGCTGGCAGCCTCGCCGGTCCGGCGGCATTCCTCTCACTAACACTGGAGGAGGAGCATGTGTCTGTCATGCTCCTTTGGGGTTCCCACATCCTGTGCTGGGAATTGTGGGAACCGCAGGGAGCATGACCGAGAGACATGCTCCTCCTCCAGTGTTAGTGAGAGGAATGCTGCCGGACCGGCGAGGCTGCCACCCGGTCCGGCGGCTGCAGCATGAAACGGCCGGCCCCCCTCACAGTGTGCCACCGGACCGGCCACCCGGTGGCACCTGCAGTCCCCAAATGCCGCCCCCAATCCAGCCCTGGCGGCGGGCCCCCCTCCCGGCCGGGCCCTCGGACCGTGTCCGAAGTGCCCGACCGGTCAGTCCGCCCCTGGGCTGGAGTGTGTCAGCAGTTCCTGCAAGATGAAGGCATTGATGCTATGGACTGGCCAGGCCTTTCCCCAGACCTGAACCCAACTGAGCACATCTGGGACATCATGTCTCGTTCCATCCACCAACGTCACGTTGCACCACAGACAGTCCAGGAGTTGGCAGATGCTTTAGTCCAGGTATGGGAGGAGATCCCTCAGGAGACCATCCGCCACCTCATCAGGAGCAAGCTCAGGCATTGTAGGGAGGTCATACAGGCAAGTGGAGGCCACACACACAACTGAACCTCATTTTGACTTGTTTTAAAGACATTACATCAACGTTGGATCAGCCTGTAGTGTGTTTTTCCACTTTAATTTTGAGTGTGACTCCAAATCCAGACCTCCATGGGT